ATTAAAAAGTTACACTCAGGCCGTGATGTTTTTGTTTCTGTTTGATTTATGAGGCGCTAGCTTGACAAATATGGCTTGCTGTTTCCATACGGTTTAGTCCTTTGTCGTTCTTATTTATCCCATAATGAATCCAGGGCAGTATTTATTAATCTGTTGAATTAACATAATTCTGTGCCAGTTGTTAACATGGCATTACGGCGGCAACCCTCACTTCTAGAGAACAAGCAATCAGAACGTGTACATGGTGTTGTACAGTTGGGATGCCAGAAAGTGCGACAGGTAGTGTTTGTTGAGTTGCGATGTAATGCAGACACGTGCTGCCTGATATTGCACGTTACGGCTACAATTCTTTTTGGCCCACCTTATGGCTGACTATATATAAATGAGCACAAAGTATATGATACAGTGTCAAATTTAAATTTATCCAGGCCATGTGGGATTTTCGCCCCTGCAGGGCATCATAACGGGTAGCAAAATGTTTTAATCGTCACCAATGATGGTTTACATTACGGCACTCCACCTCCTCATTCGCAGATGGATCATGTGATATTATTACTATTACTATTCATTCGCCTTCACAGTCTACGTTTCATTTTGGGTTATTAAGTTGCGGCTTGAGGAAAATCTCAATTCACAGGCGCGACGATCTGACAGCATAAACTTCAGCCAAATTGGAAGGCCGGATTTTCGAGGACTTGCGACCTTCCAGGTTGCACAAAGTTTTTCGTTCAATTTTTGATTCATAGTCATTTAATAGGGTCATTCGCTTTCCTTGTTCGTTTTGCCATTCTACGTTTAAAGGGTAGATAGACGATGTGATGAAAAAATATAATTCTGTCTTCTGGTACGTGCATAGATTTTTCCGTACGAGACAATATCAACTTCTCGACATGTTTTCGACCCATTTTGCGGGTGAGATGATGTGTCGGCTTTTCGGAAAGAATCCCTTGGAGACCAAAAAATCTTCTCACTGAGTCTCTGATCGTTGCATGTTCAAGCACTTGTAGCTTTGAGTTCATTTGCATCTTCAGAATGAGTGACATTACAACGGATATGTTGGATTATCGCGTTTCGAAGTGTTTGGAGCCTCTTTTCCTCGGCATTCCTTTGAGGGAACGTCATATTTGCTAGTTATATCTGGGAGCATGCTCTTTCAGCCAGCATACATGTGCATAGACAGAGATGGTGGTTTATGGCTTCGTATCGCATTATTGCAGTAGGCTGTGTACTTTCTATTCCTATTTTAATTTCATTCGGCCCGGCAAGGTTTGTTGCTGCTTTCAGCGGTTTTATAGACTGAGCACTCATTTTAATGCACAGCACTCTCACGCCTCATTGGCAGTAGTTAAATAAAGGGTTGACAGAAATTTAGGCTTCTTTCTCGTAGCATAATTCTGAGGACCATCCCTCCATTCAGAACCTGTCGCAGTGGTTACATCCGAATCAGTCAGCTCATCTTTCTACTTCTTACACTCAGTCAGATCTTTTCGAGCAGTGGTGCTTGATTGTGAAACAACTTTCGTCATAAACGAAAGTTTCCTTTTACACGACGCAAGCATAAAGTTTATGGCTTTGTAAAGGAGCCAGATTGAAGGAAATTTTGGGAAAATTGCAGTTTGCAAGATTCCCACTTGTCACTTACTCAAACTGATAAATAGAATTGAAAAGTACCATAACTCTTCATATCCAAATTTATTGCCTCGAAGCAAGGGTTTAAAGTTTTGTCTCTTGACTCGTGTCACATTTCGATGCACTGTGGGTTCATTTTGACAGGGGTACTTAAGTTTAACGGGGAACGAAAAAAATAAATGGTTTTTGGCAGTGTTGATTTAGCGGTAAGTGGCGTAGTTAGTTTCGATTAAGTGTATTTTGTGTAAACATTTAAAAGTTTAAATGATACTGACTCAATCTAAGTGCGCATTGATGAGCAGTTTGGGTTATAAAAAATGCGTTTTCACTTCAGTCTTTTTGACGAGACGCATGCGCAAAGTACTTTCCAGTCCTGAGTCAAAGTGAGGTCGCAAATGGTTGGTTTTACTGATCTTGGAGATCGGCCTGTTTGACCGAGGTTCGGCAGCACGGAGTTCTCTTTCTTTATCAATTTAAAACGGACAATGACCGTTTAGCTTCATCGGCTGGCTCGTGAGTAGAAAGAGTTTCGTAAGAATGAATTTTTTCAACAGATTTAGCACTGTCCCTCGTCAAGGTCATATCAAGCTAAGGACGAAGAGGCCACCTGTTGTATATATATATAAGCAATCACATGGAATTCAAACAGGTATTTGGGTAACTAAATAGGTAGGTATGTCAGTACTGGATAAAAAGCATCTGAGTCACAGTCACGTGGTACAGTTTCTTTGGGCATTCATATGGAATGTTTTAATTACCATAAAGATTAGATTCATTGCTTTATTCCGTGATACTTGAATTTGGTTTTTCAGAGTTTCTGAGCTGAACATATCTTAGAATTTTTACCCCATAATCTTGTTCTTCCATAAACCTGAGCATTTTTTAGCAAGAATTTAAAATGAACTAAAAGCGACATGGTGTATGCAGTATGTGGTATGCAAGTCAAGTCTGTATAGCATTCATCGTCAGCGTCAGCTTCCTTTGATCTGATGCTGGACGAAGGCTAGATTAAGTCTTCTTTGGCAATTTTTGCCCATCTTGATCGGAACTTCTTCCACTTCTGTACTCAGACAGTGACACCGCTTCTGTTGCTTCGCTCTTATCCATTCATTCTTCCTATTTTTCTTGCTGTAGCCCAGTTCGCGAACAGGTTCCAAATTCGGCTCAACGTTTCGCATCGTTAGGATGGTAAGCGCTGATCAAAATCTTTTCGTATCAATTGCAACACCACTTCATCTGATAACGTTGTTTCACAGAAAGTTTGTGCTCTGATTGTTCAAATGGCCAAAAGAAGATCATTTCCCGTTCATTATGTGATGTCAGAGAAACCATAAGCCTGATATGGATCCCTGCATGGCACCGGAAATGAGGCGGACATGTGATGAAAACAGCGGTGATGATGAAGTCGTCTTTCGACCGACCGCGTACGCTAACAAACGATGGTAAAAAGGGCTGAAGTGGCAGAACTTCGCGATTGACATTCAGCATGATCCACGGACACGGAATGTAAATGTAATATTACTGGAGTCGGCTGAACAAGTGATGGTAACAGCCATAAAAACAACGAAAAGAAGCTTATATTCCTAGATTTTTACTAGAACCTTCTTCGATCTATTTTGCATGGATATTTTAGAGGTTGAGGAAAATGCAGACAGTCTTACTTCACTCTGTTTTACTGTTCCATACTTGAGTCATTGTTGGTCGTTTATGATACGAATGAAATATTCGACTTGCAAGAGTGTGCGGGACGATTCCAACGCTGAATTAAACGTTCGCTATTCCGCTTAGAGAATCGATAGGCACTTCTATACGTATAAATTTTTATGTCTGAAATTTTTGTGCTTCTGAAGAAATTACTATGACAAGGACAAAGTATTTTCCAAGCTTGGTTTTGGCCAATGATGAAACTTTTCCTCATATTACGCGTTACATTACCGTCCAAGAATATGAAGTTATGAGTTAACCAGGTCCATGCTTCAGCATATTGTACACATGTCGTAGCCACCTTCCATTTGGTTAGCTAATTTGTTGAACGGTCACCAAATTGAAGTAAAATCCAGAGTTCTGTCATCCATGTACAATCAGCAGTCGAAGGTGATGAAAACTTTCGGCTGATCAACATTGGATCGCATTTACGGATGGGATCATTTCTTGCTGCGCTGGCCTCCATGCGACCGGTCGAACGTCGCAGGTGGGGGCAACCTGGCTTTGAATTGGCCGGTTTTGATCTTTTCGGGTAGCGTCCAATGCTTTAAAACCCACAGCTGTTCAAAAAATGGTCAGCTGTCCTTCATCCCGACTGACGGCGGATTTCAGTCTCGAATTCCAGACGTAAATCGTTTGTCGCCGCGATTGGCACTAAGTCCTAACGACCCGGTTTTCGTTCTTCTGACGGACAGGCCTTGCCGGAAATTGAAATGGAAACAGTCTTTAAAAGACGACGTTCAACTCAACGAGGGCATGCGTCCTGTTTGCACGGAACGGGGCCAACCTCTTCATTACTTAAGACGACAGCAGCTGTAATTA